AGAGCATAACTTGAAAAACTACTGGTTGGAATTCGAAACAACTTCATACAATTGTCAAGCACAATAAGGTAAAGTGCAGTGCACAAGAACCATAACTTAATCTTGACTTATTACAGCGTTATTGCCCTTTGTTACTTTTCCATTGCTTTTTTTGTCCGGAGCATGACTTGAAAACAAATGGTTGGAATTCAATATAATTTCATACAATGGTCAAGCACAGTTAGAGGAAGTGCAGTGCACAAGAACCGTAACTTCATCTTCATCTTGACTAATTACAGAGTTATCGCCCTTTGTTACTTTTCCTTGTTCGGACCATTACTTGAAAACTACTGGTTGGAATTCAATACAACTTCATACAGTTGTCAAGCACATTAAGAGGAAGTGCAGTGCGCAAGAACCATTTTTATAAGAGTTTACCCATTACCACACTAAGATGAAATTATGTATAACTATGAGGTTAATGCAGTTTAATTTTGCCAAAGAAACAATTTGCAACAAATGAATAATGATTCAAAATTGTTACGCATAAAGTTGTATTCTTAAATATATTTCAGCAATACAATCTTTTCGCTAGCTCTTATTTTTGTGGGATTAGGAAACAAAAACTATTTCTATTTTAAGCCTCACTGTAAAATGTACAGAAGTAGGTTATTTGTGCTTTATAAGTAAATGCAACACGTAAATACCATAACTTCAGTAAAATAATTATAAAATTTATCAAAAACCATTTCTATTCCATTTGCTTTTATATAATCTGCACAGCGGTTTCACGACAAACCTATCAACAAGCAGTTCTTAAAACAGCTGAAAACTAGCGATTTAAAAGAAAGAAATATTTTCATTTTGTTATAAGAATCCGACAAATTACAACGCATTCAAAGTTTAAAAGTAGCTTTGGGTTATAGAATTGTCAATGAATGCACATTCACAAATTACGGGGATGAATATCATTTTAATCAATGAAAATGCTATTTTAAGCAATGTCGAGAGCATATTTCACAAATAAATCTGACTGTCGAGTAGTGGAATATATGCATGTCGGACTGTTTTGGCGAGAAGATTTTTGTTAAATTATTTACATCAATGTTAAACAACAGGTTTATCTTGAACAAAAAACCTCGAAATTAATAAGGATTACAAACCCGAAATGCAATGGAAAAATCTAAATTTAGTATTACTTGATTTTATTCAGGCATTGTTCGTATATCTTCTCCGTGGTGCAAGGGTAACGCGCTCATTTAGTGTGTCTGTGGTTCAAATCCAATTCAAGGCAATTATTTTTTATAAAGTTTCTTTGTTAAGGAAATAGCCATGATATGCAAGGATAAAGTGTGGCTGTCATAAAAATGAACATAAATGATTTTTTGATGCAACTTTAGTCATGCAAAATTCCATATGTATCAAACTCTGGTACCAAGCAAGAAGAATTATAGTACATAAAAATAAATTTATACAGGAAAATAATACAGTTATACAGTGCGATTTAGATTGCAAAGATCAGAAAATACCACAGAGCTTGCAGCCTTTTGATTTATCTTGTTTTTCGTTTGTATGTTCTGGAGATTAGGTGGGTAGTTCTCGTAATACTTTAAGATTTATAAGATTGTGTATTAAAAGCCTTTGTAAATTGTTTCGGAAATACTGGATATCGTTTTGAAAATTTATAGAGCTACTTAAGTATTTTAAACACATGAACGAAAAATTTCACAGTAACAGGAAATTTCGGATATAGTGATTATACCGTAATCAAACGTTAAAGGTCTCTTAAGAAATGTTCTTTGGAATTAAATACTAAGTGTAAGCACTAGAACATAAACCACCAGATTGCTTGCAAAATCTTTATCGGCAGGATAAATTGGTTCACAAAACATGATTTTTCACAGTCATGATCAAATGAACAGACTGTCATTTTCTTCCTGTTACCGAAAATACACACCAGGAAGATTTCAAGTAGAAGACACGTCACTGACAGAATGTTCTTAATATCTGAATAGAAAAGAATTTGCTAAAGCCAATTTATGAAGGAGAAATCGGGGATGCTACTTATTGAATTATTTGCCCATAAAAGAGGGTTTATTTTACTCGTTTAGATTATTTTCAAAAACAAAAGTCTCAAAACGCAAAGGTTAGCTTATATTAAGATGTAAACCGCAACATATAAAATTAATTTACCTCTGAAACTGGAGTGAAAATGTGTTTGTTTATCCGTTTTTTTCTTCAGTGCCTTCAGCACTTTGATCTTATCTGTAGTACAAGTAAACTATATCGTTTTCACCGAAAAATCATTAAATTCTCAACAAGTTTCTAATAGAATCATTAACATTTATTGTATTATAGTTTGAAGACTTTTCTGTTGAAAACGTGTCAGAGTTAAATCGAATTCATATACATGCACAGTGCGTAAATGGAGTGCAGGTAATAGTTCCCAACACTCCAGAGCATGCCCATTGATGTACTCATTCCTTTTTTTTTGGGAGGGGGTGCTTTTTGTGGAATAGCGATAGAAATGCCACATTCATAAGCTGGTTCATAGGTTTTTTTCTGGGGTTTCATATTGTTACAACGTGGAACGTGCATTTAATTTTGCCTATGGTACATGTATGAATATGATGTAATTGTGTGTGGAACGTGTATGTACGATCCTATCAAGATAGCCTACGAAACGTCACTCATTACATACACAGATGCCCGTTTGTGCCAGAAACAATTTTGCAAAGGGGCCACCTGAGTTCTTACTCCACCAGTAAAACTGAAGAGTCCCCAAAATGACCTATACATTTTTGTGTGACGTAACCCCCACTCCATTCCAAAAACAATCAAATCAAATGAGACATGTCATTAACTGTATTTGATTTAAATACGTTATAGATATCGTTAAATACATTTATTAGTGTGATTACACTGTGCTCGTTATAGTATAAATATCACCGATGCATTATGTTTGCCTTAGAATATTGAAATTGAAACTGAAATGTCAATGAAAATAATTGTACATGCATATAATATCTTTCCGTTTTGTCTAGAAAATGTCGGCTTTGCTGGCGTTTGATTTTTCAAGACAACGAAATTGCTACCTTGATTATCTTTTATACAGTTTTTCTTCGTTATACTCAAGTTATATAAACATGATAGGTTAAAGTGTTGAGAAAAAATCAATAGACTTTTTTACCCACGTTTACTCTGTTGTTCCAAAAATGTCCGTTGCGTATTTTAGTCATACCCGATGAACTGTGGGTAACTTCTGTACATGTCTGGGAAAACCAACTTTCATTTTTGCATGAAAAGCTAATGTGAAAATGCATTTTCTAGCATAATTGTTGTTAGAGGGTTGGTTAAAGTGTAAGTTATTGTTATTTTAGTTATAATATTGTGATTTGTGAGGAAATTTGTTTACATTTTTTTGGACACCAAATTACCTGTCAGACCTCAGTGTAGCCCCTTTAAAGTAACTCCTTATTTACAGTTTTAATTCTCAACTTTAAGGAATCGTGTTTAGTCTCATTGCTGAACACTGTATTTATGTGAATGTTGTATTATTTGTTTTCTGTATATTAGGTACGGCAGTATCGAAACGAAATTTTTCACTCTAGCTCTATGGAGTTAGAGGAGAGCAAGGCTAATTGTTATATCGATGACATGATAGCTGTTCTACAAGATGGTAAAGAACTTGTACATCGACAAGATGCACAACAAGCTGTCGGGAAACTTCAAGATGTAAGTGTACATAAAGAATTATATTTGAAATCTTTAAGTTGTAATAATTTAAAATAAGCTCAGCTCTAAATTCAGGTAAATTTATGATAATAGAATAAAATGCTTTAATTTGTTTCATTATAATCAAATTTAAATAACAACTGCCTTAAATTAACTTTTATCAATGAAATCAAGTAAAAATACCTACAAAATGTAAAAATATAAATGCATATCTTAGTATTTAGCTCGACTATTCGATAAGTAGAGCTATTGCAGTCACCCGAGCGTCGGCGTCAGTGTCGGCGTCTGCGTCGGCGTAACCACTTATGTTAAAGTTTTTGTAATAGTTCAAATATTTTCAAAGTCCATTGACATATGGCTTTGAAACTTTGCACACTTGTTCACCATCATGACCCCAACCTGTAGACAGGAGGAGGTAACTCTATCAAGCATTTTGACAGAATTATGCCCCTTTTTCGACATAGAATTTATGTTAAAAGTTTTTGTAATACCTCAAATATTTTCAAAGTTCATTGACATATGGCTTTGAAACTTTGCACACTTGTTCACCATCATTAACCCAACCTGTAAACAGGAGGAGGTAATTGTAATAAGCATTTTTTTTTACTATCAAGCACTAAGAATAGTCGAGCGTTGTTGTCCTACCGACAGCTCTTGTTAAGTTTTAGGTTAAAGAAGGAAAAAATAAAAATAGAAAAAATAGTCCATAAATCCTGCCTTGATTTGAGAAGTCATAACATTAAGTAAGAGAGTAAAGATTAAAGAAAAATTGAGATGATTTTGAAAAATAGAGTTTGACCTTATATATGATATGTTATAAATATAATAAATCACATAGCAGCTACATTTGAAAATTGTTTCTTGTTATAAGCTAAAGAAGAAGGAATTCATTATTACCACTGAAGACTTTGAAGAAATTCTGACACAAATCAAAGAAGAAATGAGAACAGAAAATGCTTCAACTAAAGAGGAATTTGAGGTGCTCAAAAGTAAATTAACTGAACTTAAAGCACAGATGTCGGAAGCTGAGAAAGAACGTACAGAGTTGAAAAGAAAAGTTACTGTTCTTGAGACAGTGCAAGAAGAGGTAGAATATTGTGTTTAATTGTTTGTTTCTATTATATATATTCCGGTACATGTATTACTGTTTGTTTATGTGTTACTGTTCAAACCAGAACAATTATATTACTGTTTTTTCAATTCTATATATACCAGTGCATTGTATTACTGTTTGTTTGTTTCCAGTTGATATACTAGTGATTTGCATTACTGTTTGTTTCCGGTTGATATACCAGTGCATTGTATTACTGTTTGTTTCCGGTTGATATACCAGTGCATTGTATTACTGTTTGTTTCCAGTTGATATACAAGTGCATTGTATTACTGTTCGTTTCTGGTTGATATATACCAGTGCATTGTATTACTGTTTGTTTCCAGTTGATATACCAGTGCATTGTATTACTGTTTGTTTCCGGTTGATATATACCAGTGCATTGTATTACTGTCTGTTTCCAGTCGATATACTGTGTTACTGTTTGTTGCCGGTTGATATACCTATGTGTTGTATTACTGTTTGTTTCTGGTTGATGTACCAGGCAGTACATGTATTACTGTTTGTTTTAGGTTGATGTACTGGTACATGTATTACTGTTTGTTTCTGGTTGATACATCAGTACATGTATTACTGTTTGTTTTAGGTTGATGTACTGGTACATGTATTACTGTTTGTTTCCGGTTGATATACCGGTACATGTATTACTGTATGTTTCTGGTTGATATACTAGTACATGTATTACTGTTTGTTTCTGGTTGATGTACTAGTACATGTATTACTGTTTGTTTCTGGTTGATATACTGGTACATGTATATCTGTTTGTTTCTGGTTGATATACTGGTACATGTTTTACTGTTTGTTTCTGGTTGATATACCAGTACATGTGATAACTTATGGATGTTTGATACACCAGTATTATTAGCTTGTCAATGCACACAATAAGGTTAGCAAACTTTGTCACTTCATGATGGCAGTTGTACCCACTTTTTAGCTCACCTGTCACAAAGTGATGGGGTGAGCTTTTTTGACCGCTTTTCGTCCGGCGTCTGTCCGTCACCCGTAAACTTTTACTTTAAATGACATCTCCTCATAAACCGCTGAGCCAAATTCATCCAAACTTCACAGGAATGTTCCTTTTTCGGTCACCTTTAAAAATTGTTCAAAGAATTGAATTCCATGCAGAACTCTGGTTAAAAAAACTTAAAATATCTTCTTTTAAAAACCCCAAATAGCTAGAGTTTAGATATAAAGGATGACACATCTTCAAGTGGGTGTTTACCAAGTTTGTTCAAATAAAAACCCTGGGCTAAAAATTGGCCCCCACCCCAGGGGTCATTGATTTTCCTTAATTGTATATGTAAAAACTTAAAAATCTTCCTTTAAAAAAAACAAAATGGCTACAGCTTAGATATTAAGCATGACACATCTTCTAGTGGGTGTCTACCAAGTTTGTTCAAATAAAAGCCTTGGGGTTAAAATTGGCGCTGCCCCAGTAGGTCATTGTTTTTCCGTTTATGTTTATAGTAAAAACTTAAAAAATCTTCTTCTTTAAAAAAACCCCAAAGAGCTTGAGGTAAGATATTTAGCATGAAACATCTCTTTATGGGTGACAACCAAGTTAACCCTTTACCTCATATATACGCAAAACAATGCACTTTCGACCCCCCCTTTTTATTATGCCTGAAATAGTGAAAAAATGTCCTATTTGGGCCCCAAACACATGTTTTCTTTTGAGAAATGTTGCTATAAAAAGTGAGCACCTTTTCGGCGCCGCCACCCATCCAAAAGATACATCAGGGGGTTGCCAGAAGGGAGATGTGCCCCCTTCTGTTTGAAGGGGGGGGGGGCGGAGTCCCCCTCATCGCCAAGAAAATTTTGGAGTTGTGAGAGGCTGAAAATGACCCCAGGTCGATCATAATGTAACGTGTAACCAACGCTGAAAAGCCTTTGACTCTATCTCAATCCCTTGAGAAGTTGCAGCACTTTGAAATAAATTTTAATGGAAAAAATCAAGGCAAAATATGGATTTTTGGCAATTTTGAGATGTCCCCTCGTTGCCATGGTAACAGGAAATTTAAGACTGAGCATGTCGTTACAAAGGCAATGGTCCAGTCCACATTTGTGCCAAGTTTGATTAGTATTGAAGTATTTTTCATAGTTTCATAGCATGAACTTGTAACAGGAGGCTTTTCAGTGAAAACGGCCATTTTTCGCAATATGCTCATGAGGGAAAGGGTTAAGGGCCTTTTGGGTTAAACTTGGCCCGCCCCGGGGGTCATTGACTTTCTTTAAATATGTATTGTAAAAAACTTAAAAAATCTTCTAATGAAAAACCCAAAGAGCTAGCGTTTAGATACTAAGCATGAAATATATTCTAGTGAGTGTCTACGAAGTTTGTTCAAATAAAAGCCCTGGAGTCAAAATCTTAGACCGCATCATAATAATTGACCTAGAGTCATACAATTGACAAAACAGTGGAGTATGGGCAAAACAGTGGAGTGTGGGGACACCCGTGTCCTATATGGACACATTTCTAGTTTTCTTTAATTTTCTGTTTAATTTTAGAAAAAGAGAAACAGGTTGAGTTTTGCCCCTGTCTGGCAGTGGCTCTTGTTGAGTTATTGCACTTTGTTATTTTTCTTACTTAATAATCTTGTCCAGAGCATAACTTGGTCAGTATAAGTTTGATTGACTCCACATTTGGTATGTAAGCTTTATTCATTGACCTGAAATGCATTTGATAAGAATCCATCCCATAGTCCTTCATTTGATCTGTCAGTGAAAAACTGTTCCATGATATTTTTATTTTTAGCTTACCTGTCACAAAGTGACAGGGTGAGCTTTTGTGATCTCTTTTCGTCCAGCGTCCGTCCGTCGTCCGTCCGTAAACATTTACTTTAAATGACATCTCCTCATAAACCACTAAGCCAATTTCATCCAAACTTCACAGGAATGTTCCTTTGGTGGTCACCTTTAAAAATTGTTCAAAGAATTTAATTCCATGCAGAACTCTGGTTGCCATGGCAACCGAAAGAAAAAAACTTTAAATATCTTCTTTTATAAAACCATAATAGCTAGAGCGAAGATATTTGGCATGAAACATCTTCCAGCGAGTGTCTACCAAGTTTGTTCAAATAAAAGCCCTTGGGTCAAAATTGGCCCCGCCCCGGGGGTCATTGATTTTCCCTATATGCATATAGTAAAAACTTAAAAAATCTTCTTTTAAAGAACCCAAAGAGCTAGAGCTAAGATATTTAGCATGAAACATGTACTAATGGGTGTCTACCAAGTTTGTTCAAATAAAAGCCCTGGAGTCAAAATTGGCCCCGCCCCGGGGTCAAAATTGGCCCCGCCCCGGGGGGTCATTGATTTTCCCTATATGCATATAGTAAAAACTTAAAAAATCTTCTTTTAAAGAACTCAAAGAGCTATGGCTAAGATATTGAGCATCAAACATGTTCTAATAGGTGTCTACCAAGTTTGTTCAAATAAAAGCCCTGGGATCAAAATTGGCCCTGCCCCAGGGGGTCATTGATTTTCCCTATATGCATATAGTAAAAACTTAAAAAATCTTCTTTTAAAAAACCAAAAGAGTTAGAGCTAAGATATGTAGCATGAAACATGTTCTAATAAGTGTATACCAAGTTTGTTCAAATAAAAGCCCTGGGGTCAAAATTGGCCCCGCCCCAGGGGGTCATTGATTTTCCCTAAAAGCATATAGTAAAAACTTAAAAAATCTTCATTTAAAGAACCAAAAGAGTTAGAGCTAAGATATGTAGCATGAAACATGTTCTAATAAGTGTATACCAAGTTTGTTCAAATAAAAGCCCTGGGGTCAAAATTGGCCCCGCCCCGGGGGGTCATTGATTTTCCCTAAAAGCATATAGTAAAAACTTAAAAAATCTTCTTTTAAAGAACTCAAAGAGCTATGGCTAAGATATTTAGCATCAAATATTGTTGAAAGGTGTCTACCAAGTTTGTTCAAATAAAAGCCCTGGGGTCAAAATTGGCACCGCCCTGGGGGTCATTGATTTTTTCGTATATGTGTTTAGCAAAAAACTTAAAAAATCTTCTTTGAAAAAACCCAAATAGCTAGAGTTAAGATATTAAGCATGAAACATCTTTTAGTGAGTCTCTACAAAGTTTGTTCAAATAAAAGACCTGGGGTCAAAATTGGCCCCGCCCCGGGGGTCATTGATTTTCTTTATATGTGTATAGCAAAAACTTAAAATCTTCTTTGAAAAAACCCAAATAGCTAGAGTTTAGATATTAAGCATGAAACATCTTCTAGTAAGTGTCTACAAAGTTTGTTCAAATAAAAGCCCTGGGGTCAAAACTGGCCTGGCCCCAGGGGTGTCATTGTTTTTAACTATATGTGTATAGTAAAAACTTTAAAAAAATCTTCTTTTAAAAAGCCCAATGAGCTAGAGCTTAGATGTTAAGCATGAAACATCTTCTTATGGGTGTCTACCAAGTTTGTGCAAATTAAAGCCCTTGGGTTAAATTGGCCCTGCAACGTTTGGGGGGGGGGGGGGTTTGGGGGCCTATATACAGGTGAGCGAACTCAGGGCCATCATGGCCCTCTTGTTGATAATATAACAGATTTATTTAACATGATGTAACATTTTTACAATCAGTTTAAATGCCACTAAGTTAAAGGTACATGTACAGTGAAAGAGCGATGGTAATAAATAACCTATATTTAAGAAGAAAATGCCTAACTGACAGCTATACTGTTGACAAGGCAAGACATTCGACTCGTGGAGTACTAGTCTATAAAGAATATAATGGGTAAAAAAATCAGGACTTTCATTTGACTTCAACACATTCAGAAAATCAACTTATCGAAGTTTGTCTCGTAGAAATTATACTGTATATTTGGAAGCTGTATGTTATACAAACCGACTGAATATACAAATACATGTATTACTTTATACAATAAACATTTTTGAAAATTTAATAAATAAAACACAATTGTTTGTATTGTATTTTATGTTGTAGGAGATAAAAAAACTCAAGGTAGAAGACTCTCCTCAACAAAAACAGTTAGAATTTCAAAAGGCCAAATCAGGTATGTTATATAGAATATGAAAAGGTTAAATTAGGTATGTTATATATAATATGAAGGGGTAAATTCAGGTATGTTATATATAATATGAAGGGGTAAATTCAGGTTTGTTATATATAATATGAAGGGGTAAAATCAGGTTTGTTACATATAATATGAAGGGTAAAGTCAGGTATGTTATATAGAATATGAAAAGGTTAAATTAGGTATGTTATATATAATATGAAGGGGTAAATTCAGGTTTGTTATATAGAATATGAAAAGGCTAAAACAGTAATGTCATATAGATAATGAAAAGGCATTTTGTTAAAAACAATACAGTCTTCGAAATAAGTGCCAGTCCAAGGCCATAGGCCACTAAATTTAGCACCGGTCCGGTGATTTAAGATTATTGCCAGGTTGGTAGTCTGAAAAAGAAAAATTTCATCAAAATAATGTGGCAGGGTTCTCAAAAAGATCAATTTTTAGCCTTTTTGCAAACAAAACCCACCAATTTCAGTCCTTAATTTACAAAACACAGCGAGGGAAGTCTAAATTGTATTTAGTAATGGAGGCCCCCATTTTTTTCTTGGATGTTTTTTGTACAGCACCGTACAGTTACGGAAATTAAGCCATTGGTTATCATGATCATTATTTAGCTATGATTTTGTGATAATTGAGTTATTAGTAATATATTTTATATGAAAGTCATTTGTTTGAAGCAAATTGTGTCATATATTACGATTTCACCATTTATTTAAATAAATTGTTTACAAATAATAGTTAAGGGACAAAAACATTTATGACCTAGTATATGACCTAGTAGGCTTACATAATTATGTAAGAATTACTTTTATCAAAACCTGTTATGTTTTTATCACCTTTATAGTAAATATGCATTTTCGTAATTCTAGATATCTTTCATAGAATCAAAAAATATGTAAGCTTTTATTTTGTTTTGCTCACAATAACAATAACATATATTTTTGTATTTAATTTATACTTTAACAAAACAACACTTACTACAAAATCATCATTTCAATGTCTTGAGATTTCTCTAGATTGTCTGTATTTCACAAATTTCTTGTGAGGGAATCTTGATATATTTAGATAATTTGTAAGCATGCCTGATTTTATGGGCTGTTTATTAAATTTCAGATTGTCGTACTCAATTGATAGAACATTATTGCAGTGATGTACTTAAGGTATCGGCAATACCTTTACAACCAGATGAGGAAAATTGTAACTTCAGTGACATTTATATAAGACCCACTATAACAAGCAAGATAGAAAAGAACAGAGGGGAGTCTGAGGAAAAAGAAATAGAGTCCATGTCAGAGATTTTCACCAAGAACGGGGAACCACAGAAATTTATTTATGTTATTGGAGATGCAGGGTCTGGTAAGAGTAGTTTCTGTAAATATTTGATCAACTGTTGGTGTATGGCACACAGTGATGGACACAATGAAGATGATGAGTTTGAAGGAGTCAAGGAAATGAACAAATTTGATTTTATGTTTTATATTTCTCTTAGACATAACATAAAGATCCGAAGTATCCAAGAAATGCTTGAAATGCGATATGATAAGATAAAAAATTTAAGTAAACTTCTGGAAAATGATTCTGAAAAGATAATTATTTTGCTTGATGGTTTAGATGAATGGTCTTTTGACAGTGAGACTAGAAATGAGTTCCAGGCAGGCCTTCCTGAACGTGACTTTACAAAGAAATACACCATTGTTACTACATCACGACCATGGAAAATTCACAGTTTGAGAGTAAGTAATAGAGAGATTCATCAATTATTGAAATTAAAAGGGTTTGATGAAACACATGAAAAAGAAATGATTAAGAAAACAATAACAGCATTGAACGAATCATTAGATCCTAATGTGTGTGAACAAAAACTTAAGGTACAGTCTCTGGTTGGCCTGAAACAGGTACCAATTATGCTGCAGCAATTGGTTTGTCTATGGTGTGATGGTAAACTCAATAAAACCTCAAGGTGTGCTATTTATACTGGTATGTTAGAACTTTATTTCACCTGGAATTTCAATAAAACTTTAGGAAAGAATACAGAATGTATGGAAAGTTCTCAGAATGTTGAACTCCCTCAGTATTTAACAGATGTAGAGATATGTAGATTAAATAGTCATCTTATATATGGTGTGTCACGCTTGGCTTATGAGACACTGTTCAATTATCCTAAGGATAAGTCCTTAACATTTGACAAATCTATGTTTGATCATTTAAAAATATCACAAGATGTGCGACAAACATGTCTGAAACTAGGGATTTTGACAGAAGATAAATGTCCTTCTTTTTCTGTATCCAAACCTAAAAGCTCATTGTTCTCTTTCATTCACAAATCAATGCAAGAATTTCTGGCTGCAGTGAATATTGGTATAAATTTCAATGCAAAAATGTGTTCATCAGATAGTACAGGAAATGTTGAATTAGTCAAAACGTTTATATGTGAGGTTTTACGGAATTGTTCAACAGTAAATGACATATTAGAGCAGTCAAATGTCATCATTATGCTATGTGGTCTAGAATCTAGATTAGCAACACATGTTTCAAAATACATATATGATACTGTGTCGGAAGACTCTCGTGTTCAGGAACACAGGAGAACAATAAGTAGTCATCATAGTTGTATTACTGATATTCAAAAGCTTATATTTGAGTCAATGGAAGAATTCAATGCAGCATGTAGTATAGGAAGTAATACTGTGTTTTATATAGGAGATTTGGTCATTGATAAATGGGGTCAGTATTGTGATATTGTTTGTTCAGGTATTGATCAACATCAAATTGTTCCTGACTCTGTTCTGTCTATTCATGTAGATGAAATCAGCACAAAAAATGTTAAATTTACAAAATATTTACCAATGTTTCATCATCTTGAAAAAATTGTAATAAGATATGGATATGAATCACAAAGTGATACTAGTAGTACACATAGTAATGAACAGTTGATTAATGAGATAAACAATTGTGTTGCTGAGACAATTAAAGTAAACACTTCAACATTAAAATCTCTGACTCTTTATGATGTCTCTAACACTGGCAAGTATAACCCGGTGTATATTAAAACAGTTGTTAGTAACCTACCTAGTATGATCAATCTTGTAGCAATAAGTATGAGTAATATAACAATGAGTCATGATGATACTAATACATTTTGTAATTTTCTTGAGGGAACCAGTCATCTTGAACAAATAGAACTTTGTTATGTTAAATATAAGTGTAGGAAGCAGCATGATGTAAATTTATCAAAACATCGACAACTTCAGTACCTTTATTTGTATCATACTGTTAGTGTGATAGATGCTGATACTACAAACCTTGAAATATTTAAATTTGGTAAATTGAAAGATAGTAATTATGAGAAAATATTTGATATTATTAGAAAATCTAACAAATTAAAAGAACTTCAATTGTATGGAAATTCTGACAATAAATCTCGATTATATCATACCAACATAACAAAGAGACTAGTCACAGTATTACTATTGTTACACAATCTCAGTAAGCTTGAGTTAGGGTGGTGTAGGTTAACTGACAATATAATACAGTCACCTTTAGAGATGAAGAGTTTAAAGAACATTAAGCTTGTTTTTGTCATAATGAGTTTGACAACATGGCAGAAGTTTGTTGATAGTCTTCCTGGTATTCCTCATACTGTAGATGTGAGTGTATTTAACTGTTATATAACAGGAGATGGTGAGGAGTTTAATGATGATAGGTTAACATTGACATCACAAGGAGGAGGGAAGGGAAATGATGCTATACAGTATGTAAAGGATCAGGATCAGTTATTTCATGTTGAACATGATTATGGTAATTTGTTTATATTTTCAACAAAAAAGTGATATAGGATGCATGAAGTGAACATAGTGAGATGATAATAATTTGGTTTTTCATTTTCGACAAAAAAACTTATCCGAAATTATCCGAATTGTTAACATAGTGAGGGAGAATACATGCAGTAAACGTATGTTAATCTTAATTATTTCATGATAAAAGACATATAAAAGTAGACTTTTCATTATCAGCAAATAAGTAATACTAAAGTTACATATTGATAAGTTAAATAATGAATGTAATGCAATATGATAGATAACAATCATTAAAAACAGTTGAACTGAAATATTAATTTCTGGTACATTGTAATAATATTGAAATTGATGAAAGTAATATTCAAATGTGTATTTCACTAAAAAATGAAAGTAATATTCAAATGTGTATTTCACTAAAAAATGAAAGTAATATTCAAATGTGTATTTTAAATAAATAATGAAAGAAATGCAGTGACATATAGGTAACTGTTTTTTTTAAAAGATCAGGGATAGTTTGTGAAAAGTATAATTTGAAAAAGTAATAGGTTCTTTGAATAATAAATACATAAATAGATAAATAGATTAGCAAGTAGATAAATTAATGAATAAGTAAAATATAATAAGTAATTTGAATGGAAATATCATAATGTACAAGGTCAGAAAAAAGTAAAAGATAAATATAACATTCAAAATACCAGTTATATTATATAATATATGATAGGACAAGGGAATGGTATATGTAATTACCGGTCATATGAGAAATATGTCAAGGGAATGGTAATATATCAATACAAGTTTATAATGATATATAGGACAAGGGAAATGGTATATTTAAAATACCAATTATAATTGATATATAGGACAAGGAATGGTATATATAAATAGCAGTTATATTATATATAGGACAACTGAATATGGTATATGTAAATACAGGTTATATGATATAAAGTACAAGGGAATGGTATATATCAATACCAGTTATATGATATATGGAACAAGTGTTTGGTATATAAAAATACCCAGTTATATGTTAAATGTGTAAAGGAAATGGTATATATCAATACCAGTAACTGTTAAAATATATAAGGGAAAATGGAATGGTATAAATTGATATCAGTTCTGTTATATGACACAAAGGAATGTTTTACAATATTTAGACGATTGAATTATTTATAAATATCAGTTATATGATATAAAGGACAAGGGGAATGGTATATATAAATACCAGTTTTATATGATATATATATGATAATTGAATGGTCTATATTAATACCAGTTATATGATATATAGATCATGGGAACAGTATATTTTATTACCTGTGTTATGATATACTAGTATAGGATTATATGCTATAGAGGAATTGTAATCTTATATATCTGAATACCTGTTAGATGATATATAGGACAAGTAAATGGTATACATAATTTATTTCATTGAGGTGAGCACCATTTACTTGTTATATTTTAGAGATTCCTTCTTTTGATTGTTTTATATTGTAGAGATTGTACAAAAGTAATAAAAATTAAAATTATGCAAAACGATAAATGTTTACAAGTTAATACTGTTAGTCAGTATTTACTCAAAGTGTAAAGTTAAAGGGACTCCACTAAGGATTATATTTTCTTGGGGTTTTTTTTACATGAAAAGAAGGGAGTTTTTTGTTTTTTTGGTTTTAAATATTGACGAGGATCTTGCCCTTTGACGAAAGTCATTCTAAAACTTGTGTGGGAAAAAATCAATTATTTGTTCTTTTTAATTTCCCAAAAAATAAGTTTAATTTATTTTAGCCCCAACTATTCAGTTAATGCTATACTTACCCAAGTGTCGCATTGGTGTCAAACTTATGTTACTTTTATGTGTGCAAGTTGGTATCTGAAGAACTACTGAAGGCAAAAAATGACATGCTTGTTCACTTTGATTATTGACTAACACAAATCCCATGTCTCTGATATTTTTTTCTCATATAAATTTATGCACCTTTTCCGACTTAAAAATTCTTGGTTAAGTTTTTACGTATATAAGTATAAGAGTGGATTAGAACTTCACAAACGTATATGAGAGTAATAGGAAGTCACTGTCCGAGCATATAGATATTCGACAGAATTATTTCCTTTTTTAAAGCTTAAACATTCTGCAATATCCATCACTGTGGATAGTTGAGGGCACTTTGCTGTCGACAGCTCTTGTTGTTCAAAATTTTGTTTAAATCTTTGTAGGTTAACTTTGTTTGAAAATAATGCTTAATGAATATCGATTTTCAATTTAATTCTGAGTAATTTTCTTAAGTATTATTTTTATATATTTTAGCTCACCTGTCTTATAGTGACATGGTGAGCTTTTGTGATCGCTTTCCGTCTGGCCAGTCTGTCCGTCAGTAAAATTTTACTTTAAACGACATATCCTCATAAACCACTAAGCCATTTTCATCCAAACTTCACAGGAACGTTCCTTTGGTAGTCAATTTTAAAAATTGTTCAAAGAAAATTTAATTCCATGCAGAACTCTGGTTGCCATGACAACAAAAATAAAAAAACTTAAAAGATCTTCTTTAAAAGCCGGAAGAGCTAGAGCTTCAATATTTTGCATGAAACATTGTCTAGTCAGTGTCTACCAAGTTTGTACAAATGAAAGCCCTGCTGTCAATATATTGGCCCCGCCCTATATACAGGTGAGTGTTTTCAGGACCACCATGGCCTTTTTGGTTTAGTATTAAGTACACAATTTGATCTCTTTTGGGATTTTCTATTTTTATTCTTTTAGACCTTAGTGGAGCTCCTTTAAAACAGAACTTTAAATGTGTATTATTTGTAAATTGTAAAGATAACCCTTAGAGGGAAAAAATAAACTGTTAATTTTGGATGTACTAGTATATACTGTTATACATATTATGTATCCTTTTATAACTTTACCCATTATATATCCTTAAATATAAAAAATATATTTACAATGAATTAACGCATGGTTGTCAGGTGCAAGTGCATATTGCAAACCCTTCAAACTTTCTTTTTTTTTGCCTCTCTGCTGTCCCATAGGGGATATATTTACCAGATCTCTGCAGTCCCTTTGGTATATATACACGTTTGCAGCAGTGCAGCGTGTGGATAGGATATATACCAGTTCTATGCTGCACGTTGAGGATATATAGCAATTCTCGGCTATTGGCCTTTTGGATATGTATCGCCCTTGAGGATATATACCACTCAGTCTGTTCTCCACTTACCCTTGGGGGAAATATACCAGTTCTCGTCTGCCCCATTGGCAAATACCAGCCCCTTCGTCATCAACATGTGTACCAGTACTTTGCTGTCCCTTGCAGAAATATACCAGTACTCGGCTGCCCTTTGAAGAAATATGCCAGTTCTCAGTGGCACCTCAGGTATATATACCAGTTTTTGGTTACACTTAGGAAATATGTACCAGTTTATGAATGCCCCTTTGCTGTTTACAATAAAATTTTAAAGTGTTATTAAATTAATTATGACATAAATATCTGTCAGTCTATAATTACTCAGCTTATTTCAATATTTCAGTAAAAAATGTTTACATTTGTTCTTCTTTATATTTTGATTTTTTCGCACATTTAAGTACCATTACTTTGAAATAAAATTACCATTAAAGGATTGCCTAGTTTTTGAAATATTTTGCACTGAGAAAATGTATATTTTAATTGAATCAGTATAAATGTGAATGGGTAACCCATGCATATAAACAAATACACTTCATTTGTGATGATTGTAGTTCAGCCCAGTACCTGTGGATACATATGATGTTAAGACTGAAAATTAAATGTTTTCAGACAGTAAAGATATAATTACATTTTATTAAAGATTAGTTAGTTTTTGATGCTTGCTGATGTTAGTATATACATGTACCAGGATTAAGATATGTTATATATAAACATATGGTACACTTGTCTGTGCCTTTATTCTGAATGAATGAATGAATGTATCAAGTGTAAATGTAAACATATTATCACATATATATACATGTTTGTTGTTTAAGTTAGTTTTTTATGCTTTCTGATTATTTGTTATATGTTAGTATATACATGTACCAGGATTAAGATATGTCATATATAAACATATGTTACACATGTCTTTGCCTTTATTCTGAATGAATGAATGTATCTAGTGCATATGTAAACATATTATCACATATATATACATGTTTGTTGTTTAAGTTAGTTTTTTATGCTTTCTGATTATTTGTTATATGTTAGTATATACATGTACCAGGATTAAGATATGTTATATATAAACATATCTTACACTTGTCTGTGCCTTTATTCTGAATGAATAAATGAATGTATCAAGTGCATATGGAAACTTATTATCACATATATATATATACATGTTTGTTGTTTAAGTGACATGCTATTGCAATGCTTTTATGAAAATAAGATAATATTTTTTAATATAAAGAAATGTTGTTTTGTGACATGTGACTATATGTACATTTTAAACTGTTATACCCGTTTGCTTTAAAGGCCCATTAAGCCTTAAAAATGCAATCACTTTAATTTTTCAAAAACTTATTGTTTGTGTCCAAAGAGTTAGTCATTGTCCATGTACCAGAGCCATCCTTTATTCGTGTTTGTTTAAAGGCCCATTAAGCTTAGAAAATGCAGAAAGTTATTTTTCAAAAGTTTTTTATTTTTGCTGTCCTTTTTTATAGGCCATATATCTAAGCCAACTTTTGTTTCTTTTGCATTTTAGCAACTAGTACAATTATGATGAATACGTTAGTATTACATATGGAAGTAAAATAACATTTTTTAACATTTTGCATCTCGAATAACTTTTTGGCAGGTGATAAAAATAGCACTTTTTCTAAATATATTATTACAACATTTTAAAACACATATTGGCCGTTTTACAAAAATAAAAATCTATTCATTTCTGAGGCGAAATGTGCCTTTAAACTTTAAATGTATACGTAGAGTAAATTCATCTGGTATATAAGTAAACATATAATTACATGAAGATGTTATTAATTGTTAACTAGATATATGAATGTTTATCTTTTTTCATGCTTAGACTTGTTATGTCTTGTGAACATATGCATCAGATATGTTTGTTTGTGATTTGGAATATAGATTTTACAATTCTAGTAAATTTGTAAATATATATATTAATTTACATGTACTAATAACAAATCTATATTGGCCATATTTATGCTTAAACAATTCTATATGAAGTTAAGATAAGTTCATGCTGTAATATTTTATGTCAATTATACATTTTATATATTAACTATGTCTGTTTAGTGAATATTGTATGATTAAATCCATCTAGTACATTTGTAAACCTTAAATTACAACCCAGCAAACACATGACGTTGTTTCAACGTTGCTCAGACGTTAGAGTCCGACGTTGGATAGACGTTGGAATTTAGTTGTATATGAAAATTTTTTAGACGTCAGAGTCCGACGTCAATCCAACGTCATAAAATGACATAAATCCAACCTCTATTCAACGTATATACAACTACTTTCCAACCTATTCCCAACGTGAATCCAACCAGTTTCCAACATGATTCCAACCAGTTACTGACGTAATACCAACTAGTTTCCAACGAAATTCCAACCAATTCCCAACATAAATCTGACCCGTTTCCATTAAATAATTCCCAAATAAAGAGAAAATACAAAACTTTCTATACTAGAAAAGTGATTTTATCATTTTTAGAAAATGATCATAAAAACAATTAAACAAAATGTAAAACACAGTTTCTGATTTATCTATTCATGTAAAAATTAATATACAGTAAATATATTTATAACATGACCAACGGTGCAGGAGTGTTGTAAACCCATTCATTATTTCACGTATTAAATGGGTCAGTAATACACTAGTGTAATAAATATGCTAATGAGCCGAATCACTATCACTACGCGCTGTCAAAAAACATAAACAAATATGGCGTCGAATGTCATTTCTGTCAACGATCAGGTTCGAATCGACGGTCACGGCCTTGGAATCGTCACTGAGATAGTTTACCGCGGGTTCACCACGAGCTACATGGTCAGGCTAGTTGACAGTAACTTTGAAGTTGAACTTGAAAGGGAGAGATTGACGATTGTGCCTACCGACGAGATGAACGCTATGTCCGAACAGACTCCACGGCCAAGGTCCAGATTTAATATTGTCTCTGACTCTGATGTTGACGCCTTTAACCACGAGCAAAGTAATAAAAACACTCTCATAAAAACTGTTAATGATTTGAAAATTCTGAAATCTTTCTTTGAAGAACCTGAGATAAACGAAAATCGTGAAATTTATGAAATTCCAGAAAATGAATTGTCCTCATTACTTTGCCGGTTTTTAGTCAGTGTCAGAAAGCAAAATGGAGACGAGTATGAGCCTTCAGTCCTGCGTGGAATGATATCTAGTTTTGATCGGCAGTTACGTCGAAAAGGTTATGAACAAACCATTGCTTTGGGCCCTGGATTTGCTAAAGTTCGAGAGACACTGTCTATGAAACAACGACAGCTTAAAAAAGATGGGAGGGGTAACTTGCCAAAAAAAAAGTGAACCGCTGTCTAACAAAGATATAGACCATTTATGGAACTCAGACCAACTTGGCACAAGAACACCGGACACTATACTTCAAACACTTTGGCTGTACAATACCATACATTTTGGACTTAGAAGTTGTCAAGAACACCGTGATATGTGCTGGGGAGATGTTTCATTAATGGCCGATGATAACGGACATGAATACTTGCAATTTTCGGAGAGACAAACCAAAACAAGGTCCGGTGAAAATCCGAGAGATGTGAGGGTAATAAAACCTAAGATGTGGGCAAATGTTGTAAATCGTGATCGATGCCCGATTGCCGTTTACAAATTGTATGCTGAAAAACGTCCAATGAATTATTCTGAATTTGACCATCCATTTTATAATGCAACTACAACTATCCACTTACCTTCACCCCGTGACACCTGGTTTAAACGAAATCCAGTCGGAATCAACAAACTAGGATCAATGATGAAGAGAATGGTCCAGCATTCTGGTTTAAATTCAAGTAAACGCCTTACTAATCACAGTGCACGAAAATACCTTGTTCAAAAATTGAACGACAGTAACATTCCTCCTAACCAAATTATGCAAATATCCGGTCATAAGAATATAGCATCCATCAACAATTATAGTCACATAAATCAGAATCAGCACAGACAAATATCCGACATCCTTCATTCCAATGTAAAAGAAAACAATCCAGCGAATCCCATTCCATATCCGTGTTCAAATTCTGCACAGTTAAACCATAACACAGCACATGTCAACACCGATTCAAGGTCCAATCTTCATGTATCCGGTGGGTTTCAGAGTATTTTCAGCGCTCCAATACATGGTGGAACATTTCATGTGCATGTTCATCAAAATGACTCCAAATTAAATCAAAATTCAGGCCACAAACGTGCACGATACATAGACAGCGATAGTGATTAAATTCGAGTTCATATGCAAGATGCCGGTTATCAAACTTTACACACATGAACAGTGACGTCATGAGTAAGATGGTGACAATGTGATATTTTTACAAATGAATGATATTAAGTCTTGTTATTGCTATAAAAACATGTTATGAATTTGACGAAATAAATGTGATATTATATGTCAGTAAGCACAATAGTTTTTCCTTAAAAAAACTGTTTTAACTAGTACTACTTTTTTTAGCGCATGAGGGTCAGAAACCGTATAACAACTTCGACCCATTTCTCCTTATATAGAAAAAGGCACAGCAATTTATTTTCTTCGTTTATCAGAGCGCTTTTCTGGTCATGTTATAAATAGAATCTTAATTTCGTATTTATGTTGTATTAAATTTATTAAACTCGTCATCTGAAAACGATAAAAACTCGGCAGAGCCTCGTTTTTATCGTTTTCAGATGACTCGTTTAATAAATTCAATACAACATAAACACTCATTCAAGATCCTCTATATTTCCAACACATTTGTATAACATAACAAAAATGACTCACTTTTAATCATTTATAGTGATAATAAAATAAAGTTTGATATTTATAAATTGTATATAAAAATAAGAGCTACATGTCTTTTCAAAATTGAAGTTCAACATTTATCAGACCTCTTTCAGTCAATACAATAATACACATTTTGTAATCCAAAATTATAACAAACAACAGTCAACAAATCATTTTCATTTAAAAGTCTACAGTATACATTAACTAATATACACTATTACAATATATGTCAATTAAAGTATTCATGTTTACAGCATGCTTAAAAAGGTTTTCTTTTAAATAACTCATAGAAAATGGAAATCATGGCAATATAAAGCTTTCTTTAGCAGTTGATTTCATCGGTAACAAATCGGATTAGTGAGGGAAAATATTCCCTTCTGTCAAAATTAAGTGTAACACACAAAACAATAAATAAATATTCACATTAAAAGAAAGTAAGTAATTTTGAATCTTTATTCTTTCAAAACTAACTTAAAAGTATTAAATTTGGAGATATACTCCTCCGTGTGAATAATTCTGGTATACTAAACGTCCACCACTGGATCCTGATTATTTTCATCTACGAAGACACTATGTCAAACTTGTTTTGAGGTTCAACTTGTTTTTTTTTCTTGAAACTGCAAAAAGGAAACAGAAATAAATAGGTGTACATATAACAACCAAAATGGTCAATTAAATTATATTAAATAGAAATATTATTACCAATAGATTACCCTAGCATATCATAAATTAAAATCAGATGTCGATTGATGATGTAGAACAATAAAAAACTGTAACTTCAAATATATGTAATTTGCAAAACAGTTACATGTAAAGGTGCAAATTTAATCATAAGACATGTCACGTAATTATTTACTTTTGATTAACAGTTAATTATGACAAAACAGAAATTACAGTAAATAACAAAATCAAAATCCATATTTTACCTTAATTTGATGCACTTATCATTCTTTTAAGTCCAAATGGTGTTTTCTGTCGACTGTTTTTCATGTATACAATCTTATCAGCTAATTGTCATCACACAAAAATTAAGTGTCAGTCTATACAAAAACAAAACCCAATGATTATTGACAAAAAGTTATAAATTTACTTTGACAGTATACTTATGTATTGATAGATCCCTATTTTGACATTTTACATGTAGATCTATTTGAATAACAATAGATTAAATCTCAAATATTGACAAGTGTTCCTTTGTTAACAAATACGTCGTGGTGAATTACCTATTGTTATCTAGTCTACTTATCTGATAAATCGAATTAGAGAGATTTAGGTCATGTAGGGATCTCGGCTTAAAATGGCAACACAAATAAAACAAAAAGTTTGACAGAATTTCATACAATTTATATATCAATTGAATCCCAAAGTACGAGTTAAATGAGGGCGAATCAGACTACATTAATTAACTGGTTTAGAACTGAGATAATTGAATGTCATGAAAATATAATCATATTCCAAATGTAACTAATAATTTTTCAGTTATTATACTATGCATGCAGTAAGTTTAATACTAATCTACCTTCAAAAATATCACTTACTTTTCACTATGCGAGTTGTCTTCTATGATGTGCATAATTAATGTCCTTACTTTGTCTTTGTTTGAATTTGAAAACAAATTGTTGTTGTAGCCTCGTTTTGAAATTCATCAAGTTTCCATTATTTTTTCAATTTATTTAATTGAAATACTAATATTGTTCCTGTTTATGGTCTAGTATAACAATTTTTGTAGTAAAAAAAAATACAATGGATGTGAAAGAAAAATGAATAACAAAATTAGAATGATTATATTGACCTGAAATTAGAGCCACCTATCGGGTTTATAAATCAGAACAAAGGGAAGTAACACATCAAGACTACTATGTTGGATTACACTGAAATCTGACATTGTATCGACGTAATTCCAACACGTTGATACGTCGTCGCAAATACAACGTTGTTTCAACGTTGTATTTAGGATTTTGACGTCGTGACATAAATCCAACTTAGATCCAACGTTGAAACAACGTCAGGTGTTTGCTGGGAAGCACTTGATAAGACATATATTTTGGCCATGTTTATACTTATAAACAATTCTATATGAAGTTAAGATAAGTTCATGCTGTAATATTTTATGTCAGTTTACTGTTATACATTTTATTTATCACATAAACCGCGGCGCAGGAGTGTAATAAAGCCATTTAATAAAAACGATATTACACTAGTGTAATAACACTTTGACGTGATGTCATTTGCGCTATATATAAACATAGCGTTAAAGCGCGCTAATGTTAGCGTTACACTATAGACGCGTCGTTGAAAAATTACTCATTTTAACAGTTTACTGTTCTTATTTTATAAATGTGATAAGGAGAATATTATATTTGTGTAGATTCAATACTAAATTTATTGAACTCGTTGAGTAAAACAATATCATGCTCGCCAGAGGCTCGCATATTAGGATTTTATTCAACTCGTTCAATAAATTTAGTATTAAACTACACTCATTCAATATCCTCTATACATTAACTATGTCTGTTTAATGAATATTGTATGATTAAATCCATCTAGTTCATTTGTAAACCTTAAATTACAAGCACTTGATAACACATATATTTTGGCCATGTTTATGTTTAATTAATTCTATATGAAGTTAAGATAAGATCATGCTTGAATATGTCAATTATACATATACATACATATAAAACATGACTGTTTTAAACTTGAAATGTTTATGGAAAACAGTATTCAGTATATGATCTTATCACATAAACCGCGGCGCAGGAGTGTAATAAAGCCATGTAATAAAAACGATATTACACTAGTGTAATAACACTTTGACATGATATATAAACATAGCGTTAAAGCGCGCTAATGTTAACGTTACACTATAAACGCGTCGTTAAAAAATTACTCATTTTGACAGTTTACTGTTCTTATTTTATGTATGTGATAAAAAGATTATTATATTCGTGTAGATTCAATACTAAATTTATTGAACTCGTTGAATAAAACAATATTATGCTCGCCAGAGGCTCGCATAATATGATTTTATTCAACTTGTTCAATAAATTTAGTATTAAACTACACTCATTCAATATCCTCTATTTATCATGGAAGCTTCATAGACAGAATTGTTATTATACTGTTTTTGTTATTAATTTAGTACTTTAAAAAAAATAGATAACATGTTTTGTAATGGTTTTGATAGCATGAATGTGTGACTTTTCTTAATAAAAAAATTTACAAAATTGATTTGTGAATCATTTGTTTTTCCTCTCTTACAGAACAAGTTGAGGGTATAGAACTTTTTAAAAATGTACTTCCCACCATTTCCATATATAGCAAAGACTTAGCTGCCAGTACATACCGGTAACGTTTGTAAAGTGACATGGTGAGCTTTAGTGATTGCTTTCCGTCCGGCGTCCGTCTGGCCGTAAACTTCTACTTAAACGACATCTCCTCATAAACCGCTAAGCCAATTACATTCAAACTTCACAGGAATGTTCCTTTGGTAGTCAACTTTAAAATTTGTTCAAAGAATTTAATTCCAGCAGAACTCTGGTTGCGATTGCAACCGAAAGAAAAAACTTAAAATGTCTTCTTTTACTAAACCGAAAAAGCTAGGGATTAAATATTTGGCATGAAACATTATCTAAACAGTGTCTACCAAGTTTGTTCAAATAAATGCCCTGGGGTCAAAATTGGCCCCGCCCGGGGGGTCTTCTTTTAAAGAACCCAAATAGCTAGAGCTTAGCAATTAAGCATGAAACATCTTCTAGTGGGTGTCTACCAAGTCTGTTCAAATAAAAGCCATGGGGTCAAAATTGGCCCCGCCCCAGGGGTTGATTGTTTTTCCCTTGATGTATATAGTAAAAACTTATAAACGCTTCTTTTCAAAAACCCTAAGAGCTAGAGCTAAGATATTTAGCATGAAACATCTTCTTATGTGTGTCTACCATTTTTGTTGAAATAAGGGCCCTGGGGTTAGAATTGGCCCCGCACCAGGGATCATTGATTTTCCTTATATGTATATAGTAAAAATTGAAAAAATCTTCTGTTAAAGAACCCAAAGAGCTTAGATATTAAGCATGAATTGTCTTCTAGTGAGTGTCTACCAAGTTTGTTCAATAAAAGCCATGGGGACAAAATTTTCTTCGTCCTGTAGGGGGCGGATCATTGTTTATCCCTATATGTGTATATAGTTAAAACTTAAATAATCTTCATTAATTATCATGAAACATCTTCAAATGGGTGTCTACCAAGTTTGTTCAAATAAAAGCCTTTGGGTTAAATATGACCCCGCCCCGGGACCCTATATACAGGTGAGCGATTTCAGGGCCATCATGGCCCTTTTGTTTTGTTATTGAGTCTGTACAAGAGGAATGGTGATAAAGTACAACATCCCTCACGCTCCATAGCACCGGCTTGAGCGGTATTAATTTTCAACACACAAAAGTGTTGGAAATCATAATCTCGAAGGATAAAACAAAACAACACTGAAATAGTACGGCTGCTACACAGAACTTGACACCTGTTGATTTGAAGTATAAAAAATCAGCAAAAAGTTTGATCTTTTGGAAGCATTTAATCCACGGATTTATATTATCCGTGATTTAATCACAACACATTTGAAATAGTAAAAAATTTTACATCCCTCACGCCTCTTGGCACCGGCTTGAGTGGTACCCAACTGGCAACATTGTTGGAATCATTTGGAATCAAGTTATACAAAGTTGGAATCAAGTTATATTATCATCACTATATAAGTGATACATGTACCTCTTTAGCCCACTCAAGGATTGTTTTATGGCAGGTCCAGTTAAATCAAATATGTAACTGTGTTTATTTTATGATACAACAGAAAAATACCTTGTCATATATATACTTATAATACCATTAGGAGAAACACTGAAATAAATTACATTATGGATTTAGGTTGTAAAGGCGATAAAAATAATCCAGGGAGACAAATACTGTTCGTATACATGTATGTATCAAAATACGAGGGAGACTAATCATGCATTTAGTTCGTGTTCATTAAAACAAATACTCCACGGAATAATAGCAGGTTTTGTTGTTTGTTTGTTTCATTTCACGCTTTTTTCTAACAATATTTCAGTCATATAGGCGGGTAGTTTCCTAACCATCGTTCCTGGATAGTTACACCAGTATTAAACTATCTTCCTCCGTGCTAAACTACCAAAGCATCTCCCGGGGATCGAATCCACGCCAGAAAAGTAACTGGATTAGAAGTCATCGACTCTAACCCCTCGACCACGGAGGCATTGTAATAGCAGGTACTAATTTCTAAAATTATAGTTTTGTGAAGGAAATGCTAATGAATTTTTATGTAGATACACGTGTATGATGATAATTATTTCAGCATGATAATGATAATTATGTATTGAACAATCAGTGGTCATAAAACGAAAGAATCGGTATGATAATGAAGATATCAGTATAATAATGAATATATCAGAATGACTATAAAAATATTGGAATGACAATGAAATATCTTCATTATCATTCTAAAATCTTCATTGTCATTCTGGTATGTTTATAATCATTCTTATATCATCATTATCATTCTGAGATTTTCATTTCATTCTAATATATTTATTAGTCCCCTACCGGTTTACCGGAGGGGACTTTAGGTTTACCCTCCGTCCGTTTGTCTGTCCGTCCGTCAGTCCATCCGAGCAAACATTTTGGGTTTAGGGGCTATATAACAGTAAAGAGAACAAAAGAGAACAATAGGTTCAATCCGTGATCAAAGGGTTTATGGGCTAGTAGCCCTTAAGAGAACAAAGAAAATAACAAAGAAAATAGCCCCTAAACCCAAAATGTTGGAACGTCCGTCTGTCCGTCCGTCAGTCCGTCCGTCCACAAAACTGGATCCCGCGATAACGCAAAAAGTACTGAAAATATTTTAATGAAACTTGATATATATGGATAGATGGCAGTATGGAGATTATGCACGTCTTTTTCTTTTCTTCCTATGTTGAAAATTCTGGTTGCTATGGCAACAAATAGACTGAAAATATGGCAAATTTTACACACAACCTGGATCCAGTGATAACACAAAAAATACTGAAAATATATTTATGAAACTTGACATATGGGTAGATGGCAGTATGGAAATTATGCACATCCTTTTCGTATCTTCCTTTGTTGAAAATTCTGGTTGCTATGGCAACAAATAGACTGAATTTCAAGATTTCTGATTCTAGTTTTTAAGTTTTTTCACTATAAGTTCTTTATTTCTTAAGGTATTTTCTTCAAACTTTAAATATAAGTTGCTTGTCATCAACCACATCATATGTGACAAGGTTTACAACTCTAGCACAAAATTTATCAGAATTACCTCCCTTGAACTTAACATTTTCATGAAAAAAAAACATTGTTTTTTTTATTAACTTTCTTTTTCTGAATGTATCTACTTCAAACTTCATATAAATGTTTCTTATTATCACTCAACATTTGTGAGTGTTCAATACTCTAGCAAGACTATTTCCAGAATTATGCCCCTTTTTGAACTTAGACTTTTTTTTGAGAAATTGGTAATTTTTACTCCAATTTCTTCAATCATGATATGATTTTTAAAATGTTATATTTTGATAACAGGGATGTTTAAAAAATAACTTTAGAGTGTCCTTCAGTCCGTCTGTCTGTACA